TTTGAGATTTTTCTTATTTCCTGAGGTAAGCTTGTGTTGCTATAAATTTTCCTCTTAGAACTCTATTTCTGAATTCCGTAGATTTTGAATTGCTGTGTTTTTGTTTTTTCTCCAGGTATTTTTGCATTTTTCTTTGATTTCTTCAGTGATTCATTGGTTGTTAAGTAGTATATGGTTTCACCTCTGAAAGTTTTGAGTTTCTTGCAGTTTTTTTTCTTATAGTTAAATTTCTAGTTTCCTAGTGTTGTGGTTGGAAAAGATGCTTGATATTATTTCCTGTCTTAACTTTACCAAGGCTTGTTTTGTGGCATAGCATGTGATCTGTCCTGGAGAATGTTAATGTTCCATGTGCACTTGAAAAGAATATATTCTGCTGTTTTTGAAAAGAATGGTCTATATATGTCAAGTCTGGTCTGATGTATCATTTAATGCCAGTGTTTCCTTATTGATTTTCTGTCTGGATCATCTGTCTATTGATATAAATGGAGTATTATAGACCCTTACTGTTATTGTGTTAGTCAATTTCTCCCTTTATGTCTGTTAATATGTTTTATGTATTTATATATATATGTGATTCCTGATCATTATGTAATGTCCTTCTTGTGTCTTGTAATAGTCTTTGTTTTAAAGTTTATTTTATCTGATATGGGGCTTCCCTTATAGCTCAGTTGGTAAAGAATCTGCCTGCAATACAGGAGACCCCGGTTCAAAGGTCCGCTGGGGCAGGGATAGGCTACCCACTCTAGTATTCTTGGGCTTCCCTTGTGGCTCAGCTGGTAAAGAATCCACCTGCAATGCTGGAGAATATATACATGATGATGTAAGTTGCTACTCTCTTAATTTCAAATGCATTTTAACAATCTTGCATTTGTATTCTTCCCTCACAATTACTATTTTTACTCTTAGTCATCTTTGTAGTCTTACTGCCCATCATATTATAAGGACTCAAAAATTTTTAAGTAAACAGTAATTAGTGATAGTAACGGAGAAGGAATGGCAGCCCACTCGTGTTCTTGCCTGGAGAATCCCAGGGATGGGAGCCTGGTGGGCTGCCATCTATGGGGTTGCACAGAGTTGGACATGACTGAAGCGACTTAGCAGCAGCAGCAGTGATAAAAAATGGTATTTCTTTCGTATTAATGCTACAGCAAGTTTAAAAAATGAGAAAATGAAAATGTCCTTAGATATCCAATAGGCCTCATGAAGCAAATTTTGGGACTTAGACTCAAAATCATATTATGAAATACAGGAAACTACTTTGCTATGAGGAAGATTCTCTAATACAGGTATACCTTGGAGATATTGCAGTTTGAGTTGGAGACCACTGCAGTAAAGTGAAAATTGTAATAAAGCTAGTGATGTGAATCTTTGGTTTCCCAGTGCATAGAAGTTATTTTTACACTAACAACATATGGAAAAAATTATTACATATGGTAGGCAGAGTAGTAGTCTTCCAAAGATGTCCACATCTGAGTCTCTAGAACCAGTGAGTATGCTACTTTACATGGCAAAAGGGAGTTAAAAGTTACAAATGGATTTAAAGTTGTAGTCAGCTGATCTTAAGATAGGGAGATGATTCTGAATTATTTGGGTGGACTCACTATAATCACAAGGGTTCTTAAACATAGAAGGAGGAATAAGATGTCAGAGTGATGTGAAAACTTAACCCGTTGTTAGCTTTGAAGATAGAGGAAAGGGGGCCATGAGCCAAGAAGTGCAGGCAGTCTTCAGAATCTGGAAAGGGCAAGGAAACAGATTCTTCCCTAGAACCGCTTGGAGAAATCCAGCCCTGCCAACACCTTGCTTTCGTTGATTTTAACCCAGTGAGACCCATGTCAGCCTTCTAACCTATAAAAATGTAAGATTATAAAAATAAGATTATCTGCGTTGTTTTAAGCCACCAAGTTTATGTTAATGTTATGGCAGCAACAGGAAACTAGTAACAGTATATAACCCTGCATTTTGAAATGGGGATAATTCATACCTCTAATGTGTTTGCAGATGTCGCCGTGTATTGATAGCTCAACATTTTGATGAAGTATGGAGTCCAGAAGCATGTAACAAAATGTGTGATAACTGCTGTAAAGAGATTTGTGAGTTGTCATTTTTAGATTTCTATAAGCTAATGTTTATAGCTAGGACTACATGAGGACAGTATTAGACACCCAAAATGGATTTAAAAGAATTAGCCAGGTGTGAATAGAATTTCTCAGATTTGAGAGGAGTAACACAAAGTTTTGAAACAAGTACAAATAAAAGCTATATGTGTATGCATGTATTTTATATTGCTACACTGAGATGTTAAATTTTTAGGAAATGAAGGGAAACATTTAAAATCCCTGATTAGAAATACTATTTATATATGAGAATGCTGACCTCTTGTAATAATCTCCAGTACTTTATAGTCACTGATTGAAGAGAGAAATTTAGTACAAAATAGAGATTATAGTGTATCATTTTTGATCCAGGTAATATTCAATCACTTTTAAGACACTAGTTTAGTAGTGCTGGTGCTGTATTTTCACTTTTAAAAATTCTGTATATATGCATATTGTTTGATGAGCTAGACTAACCCATTCCTGAATTCTGATGCCTTGGTTGGGGAAGGTCACAACAATTTAAACTTTGCAGGTAGAGAAAATTATTTGTGTTTACTAGACCGTTTTATACTGACCAAATTAACAACAGTCTGATAAATACGTTTGAGTGCTTGTGTCAATAGATGGGAATAACTGTCCAGAAATTAGGGTCCCTAGGAAGCCACACTGGTTGTCAGAATATTGCTTAATGAGCATGCATCATTAAATATGAAGCAATGAAGAACAGATTGACTAAATATGGTAGTCTAAACCTGGTAAATATATTTTTAGATTTCTATAAGCTAATGTTTATAGCTAGGACTACATGAGGACAGTATTAGACACCCAAAATGGATTTAAAAGAATTAGCCAGGTGTGAATAGAATTTCTCAGATTTGAGAGGAGTAACACAAAGTTTTGAAACAAGTACAAATAAAAGCTATATGTGTATGCATGTATTTTATATTGCTACACTGAGATGTTAAATTTTTAGGAAATGAAGGGAAACATTTAAAATCCCTGATTAGAAATACTATTTATATATGAGAATGCTGACCTCTTGTAATAATCTCCAGTACTTTATAGTCACTGATTGAAGAGAGAAATTTAGTACAAAATAGAGATTATAGTGTATCATTTTTGATCCAGGTAATATTCAATCACTTTTAAGACACTAGTTTAGTAGTGCTGGTGCTGTATTTTCACTTTTAAAAATTCTGTATATATGCATATTGTTTGATGAGCTAGACTAACCCATTCCTGAATTCTGATGCCTTGGTTGGGGAAGGTCACAACAATTTAAACTTTGCAGGTAGAGAAAATTATTTGTGTTTACTAGACCGTTTTATACTGACCAAATTAACAACAGTCTGATAAATACGTTTGAGTGCTTGTGTCAATAGATGGGAATAACTGTCCAGAAATTAGGGTCCCTAGGAAGCCACACTGGTTGTCAGAATATTGCTTAATGAGCATGCATCATTAAATATGAAGCAATGAAGAACAGATTGACTAAATATGGTAGTCTAAACCTGGTAAATATATAGAAGAGACTTACCCTCTATAAACACCTCTAAGTCTTTGTCATAATCATGTCTGGCTGATACCTTTTGGTTCCGAGAGCATCGCCAAAGACCTTCCAAATAAACAGATTATTTTTTTTTTTATATCATTTAAATTCGTGTCTTAGAGAGACTATATACCTTAATCTAATGAAAAGAGACTTGAGCAATAGTCTTAATTCAGAACATAGGAACAAACCAGTGTTTAGGGTGGCCCACATTGGATGACTTATTTTTTAAACGAGTCTAACCACTTAGGACAGCCTATCCTTGCCCTAATTTCAAAATCTCATTCATCTTTAACCATGTCTCTTTCATTACAGCATTTGAAAGAAAGAATGTAACTGCATACTGCAGGGATCTTATTAAGATCCTGAAACAGGCCGAGGACCTGAATGAAAAGCTCACTCCACTAAAACTGATTGACTCTTGGATGGGAAAGGGTGCCTCGAAATTGAGAGTGGCAGGCCTTGCTCCCCCCACACTTCCTCGTGAAGACCTGGAGAAAATCATTGCACACTTCCTCATACAGCAGTATCTCAAGTATATACAGACCCATTTCTTGCCCTCTCATGCTGTCTTTCCGGATTCTTATTTTTATATAAGTGCAACAGAACAAATGGTTTAGTGGTTGTTTCATAGGAACTTTTAAACACTCTATAAAATTTACCTAGTAAACAAATTCAAACTTTTAATTATCATATGTCAAAGCAGCAGGAAAGTAGAATACTTTATTGCATTTTTATACTAAAAGTTTTATTTCATATCAATGTTAATTAAAATTATTTATTTTTTATAAATTTCAGTTTGTTGTCTGCAACTTCTCAAAGCCTGACTGTTGGCCTTTGTCTCCTGCAGAGAGGACTACAGTTTTACAGCTTATGCTACCATTTCATATTTGAAAGTAGGACCTAAAGCTAGTCTTCTGAACAACGAGGCCCACGTTATTACCATGAGAGTAAAGAAGCCCATGCAGAACTGTTTCAGGGTGATTACTAATTTTCAATGTTTAATTATTTGAAAAAGACATTAAAGCCTGTGTCATGCTTTTCTTTAGTACTCTTCTGGGTCCAGTGGAACACAGAAGAGATGAGTCAGTGTTCTTGGAATCTGGGTATAGAAGAGAGAAAGCTTACTTTTGTGTTCTGCAGAGGTATCAAGTGGAAGGATTTAACTAGTATTTAAATAGACTAGGGGTTTCCCAGCTTTTGGAATGTGCAGACTCCATTTTAACGTCTGATGTTGCAATGCGCCCTGCTCTCATGACCTTGCTGTGGTCAGTACTAGCTCCAGTCGGCTTGTGCAGCAGAAGCTGGAAACCCCCGTCACAAACTAACTGCTCTCCAGCCAATTTACAGTATGAAACAGGAAAAATAAATTAACTTTATTGTAAACCCTTTAAATGTAAAATATGTAAGAGATTAAGTTCATGTACCTTTGTTAAGTTCTTTATGCCTTGCCACAACTAGCTGTGTTTTTCTTTTCACACAGCTGGCTTACAAAAGCTGATCATAGAAAGTGAGTGATTTCATGTAACAATAGTTGTAGAACGCAAATAAGGAAGGAATAAGGTATCAATACAAATAATATAGCAAGTAAGATACTGCTACACATCTGCTTAAGTAGGTTACAACAGTAAGCTTCTTGAAACCACAGCCTGCTTTTGACCTTTCATGGTCAAAGAATGGCTCTGGTATGTTAACCAGATACCACACTGTTGGTTAAGTAGATGACAAGCTAATTTGTTTCAAAGCTAAATCACAAATGAATGTCTCTAAGTTTAAAACAGAAATGGATACTTCAGACTTATCTTTACATAATTAGTGGTCAATTGTGTGTTAGAAAAGAAAATCTATAAATTATTTTAACTTCAGCTGGTCATCATTAAATCTGTGTAATCCTCTGACTTTTAAAATCTTATTTGCAATGTGATGTAGCTCTTGAAATGCCGTTTTTAGTCAAAATAATCTTCTATATCAATATTTGGATCCAGCAGATCTTCTCCATATGCTGAAAGGTTCATCTGGTTTAAAATTAAATTTTCAAATGTTTCTTCTAAGTCGGTTTCACCAATTAAGACTGCGCCCATCATTCGCCCGTTCTGCAGGACGGCTTTGATGTACTCCTGCCCTTTGGTACACCTCAGCAGTAGCTCGTGGTTTGAACCCAAACCCTGTGCATTGTATTTTCCCAGTAATACAACCTGTATAGAGAAATATAAAAACGTTATTTTAGTGAGTATTTAAGAAGAAACAAAACACACAGTTATTTTGTGTTTTCCTAGAATGGGAAATCTCATCACAAAGTTTTACTGCTAAAAGTGCCATTTAGAAGGAACCAAAGAAAACATTTTTACAGTATGCATTTACTCTACAGATGACACTACCATACAATATATATGAACACTAAAGATACCTAGTGATTATACAAATATGTAGGATGTGGAACTACATCAGCTTGGAGTCATGATATAAAGGCTGAATAAGAAACTGAGTTATATCTTTCAAGGGCAAATTGTTGAACCTCTCTGAAATTTATGTATATATCTGTATGTTTGTGTTTCTCCTTGTCAGTAAATGAGGAGGAAAAAACCTGCCCCAGAGTGATGTAAAGAGGGTTAAATAATATGTAGGGGGTAGTACCTGCTCATTCTTTGGTATGAATAGCTGTTAATTCCCTTCACAAAGGAGTGAATTTCAAATAAAACTCAGAAATGTACCATCAGGGAACAAATCTGGAAGAGATTTCCCCGCCCCCCCCGAACTACAAGAGTTCAGTGAGAAGGCAGGTCTGACTATCAGATGACCAGGGACCGTGCTTAGTCGCTTCAGTCCATGGGGATTCTCCAGGTAAGAACTGGAGTGGGTTGCCATGCCCTCCTCCAGGGGATCTTCCCAACCCAGGGATTGAGCCCAGGTGTCCGGCTCCTGTCTCCATGGGTTCTCTAGGTAAGAACTGGAGTGGGTTGCCATGCCCTCCTCCAGGGGATCTTCCCAACCCAGGGATTGAGCCCAGGTGTCTGGCTCCTGTCTCCATGGGTTCTCCAGGTAAGAACACTGGAGTGGGTCGCCATGCCCTCCTCCAGGGGATCTTCCCAAGCTAGGGATTGAGCCCAGGTGTCCGGCACTGCAGGCAGACTCTTTACTGACTGAGCCACCAGGGGAGCCTGACCCTATGAACTGTATGTAGCCCGCCAGGCTCCCACGTCCATGGGATTCTCCAGGCAAGAATACTGGAGTGGGTTNTTCTGCCCCACCATTACGAGGCAGGCAACACTGTGACAGCAGGGGGAAATCTAGATCCAGGTGGAAGGGGTTGTTAGGCTGAGGAAAGCTGTTTACCATGGGAATCCACAGGGACACGGATCATCAGAAACGATGTATGGTTTATAATCTCAGTGTGCTATTTTTTAATTTAAAACTGTGCTGAACTAAATCGCAGCCACTAGTTACATAACTATTTAAATTGATTACAAGTAAAATTAGAATTCAGTTCCCCAGCCACAGCCACCTTTGAAATGCTTAGTAGACAAGTGGCTAGTGGATGCCTGACTGGACACTGCAAAAGTACACGGTGTATCTGTCACCACAGAAAGTTCTACTGGACACTGCTGATAAGCATCTGAACATGAAAAAGTAACAGTCATAATTCTTTTTAAAATTAAGACACCCCAGTCTATTCCATCACTATGTAATACCTCACCAAAAGGGGAAAAATTCTAGTGTTTTGTTTTTGTGACCAAAAAACAAAACAAAACCTCAGATAGCTTCCCACTTAAAGTAGAAAAGCTGGAAACCCAGAAAGCTGTATTTACTTGTGGCAGCTCCTTTATTTTCAGATGGACTCTCTGATAAACATCTGTGATCGGTTATGCCAGCTTACCTGCAGCCAAACAGGGCTGGGATGCCAGGAGGCTGTGCAAATATCACCTGCGGCATAGATGTCAGGAAGGGACGTGTGCATGTGGTCATCCACCTTCAGGCCACCGTCTTCTCCTACATCAAACTAGACAATGTTCCTCATAAGCACATAGGGTAAGGAAAAGGAAACATGACCTTTTCGTTCTGAAGTAAAAGAACAAGTCAAATTTCTACATGTTGATATGCTGACTTTTAGTGAGGAAAGTGAAAAATAGCTGCCAAGTTTAGGCAACTAATCTGAATTTCCAGTCAGTCAAATTCCTACTAAAGATGAACCCATACCATTCTTGGGACTTCAAATTCTTAGGACATCAAAAATTGCCAATAAACATATGACCACCCCACTCATAGTTACAAAAATATTCCTCAGTTACTACAAGCTTCAAATGCTAAAAAGCAAAAAATACAAGCTGGTTTCTCTAAAAGAATCACTTTTTAAGAATTCATAGGAAGTCTTTGAGGCCCACTTCCAAGGGGGCGCTAATGGCAAATAACCCGCCTGCCAATGCAGATGTAGGAGAAGTGGGTTCGATCCTGGGTCGGGAAGATTCCCTAGAGGAGGGCATGGCAACCCACTCCAGTATTCTTGCCTGGAGACTCCCATGGACAGAGAAGCCTGGTGGCCTACAGTCCATGAGGTTGTAAAGAGTTGGACAGGACTAAAGTGACACAGCATACACATCAGTCTCTTACCAACATTAGATAAATGAAGCGTGAATTATGTCACCTTAAATAATGCTGAGATGTTAACTGCTTAAGGATTTGACAGTAAAAAAAATACTGAACATGAAGACATGAATATAAATTGTTTTCAGCCATCTTAAATTACAGTTCTGTGCCATGCTTCAAATGAACAATGTTCATGCTTGAGAATTAGAGATCTTTACAAATAATACTTAGCAATGTTCACAGTGAGACAAAAATTTTCAACTTACATTGTTGCCACAGAGAAAAGGTTCTGTATTTGGTGTAACTCCTGTAGCACTGACAATGAAATCGCAGCCAAATATCTTTTCATTGGTCAATTCCACATATACAGGCCATATCTCTTAAAAAAAAAAAAACTTTTTGTTCTCAAGTGTAATCACAACCAACAGCCTGTAACATTATGTGAATATGACAACTAGAACAAAGAAGAACTGAACAAGGCAAGAGGTGACTTTAAAACAATAACTCAAGAATACTTACAAAGTACATTTGCTAAAACAATTTTGATATAACCAATTCCATCTTCTTATTTTGGGTACAGTCACGAATCCACGGCAGGCATTATAAACATTTTTCCTTCAAATTTAGAAACAAATTCTAACAAAGTAAATTGATAATCACTTTACAAATTTCTTTAAAAATCTTTATTAATAAATTATACTCCATTGAGAGTTTAGTCCAAGTAAGTTACTCCTTTTTTAAAGTTTTCCCTTATTATTGACACTCAGACAATTCCTTTCCCTGTGAAAAGATTCAAAGAATTCAGAGCAATGGGGTATCTCATACAGGAGGTTTGGTTGAATATATTTCATAGAGTAGTTCTCACAGGAATGGAAAGTAGGAATTTCAGGAGATCTGTACCTTAGTTTCAACTTTATAGATTTCAGTCTGTCTGATTTTAAGGATGTTACTTCAACTCTAACAGCATCAGTTTTTTAGTTTTTATTTTTTGTCTTGATCTGCAAGACACTCTTAATTCACTCACAGGGGTATGATGGTCAAACAATGGCTTTGCATAAAATGTTAAGCTCTATAAAATTTAATTTATTAGAAAATGCAAAGAGTTAAGTAGTGAAGATGAAATTATTTACATTATTAAATTACGGTTTTATCTTTTCACATTTAAATTTCATATGGAAGTATGGAGTTTTTAAATATAACAATAAGGCAAAAGTGTCTTCTTTTTAAATAAGTGATTATTTTTTCTTATTTTATCACTTACCTTTGTCAGTAGTAACTGACTGATCATGATGGTCTCTTGGAAAAGACAAGGATTTTTTCTCAGAAATTCTAAATTCTTCCTGAAGGTAAATTTTCTTTACTTCACACATGGTTTCAATGTGAATTTTATGAGAAAACTAAAATAAAGAAGTACTGGTCACCATAATACTTCCAGAAAGAAGGATGGGTTACTGATGATGAAGAAAAAATTTATAATACTTACAGAAACTAAAAAAAAAAAAAATCCTTACAGTATAAGTGAAAACACATTTAATGCTCCCCAACATGCCTCTTAATTTTGTGTATGAAAAGTGTGAGCAGAAACTCAATTTAGTATTTAGAGATCAAGAGTTGAATTGGCAGGTAGCATTAAGGGCATACTTTTTAATACAAGCCTTATCAATAATTACATGTATATGAATTTGTATTTTATTTATTTTCGGCGGTGCTGGGTCTTCGTTGCTGCACAGGGCTGCTCTCGAGCTGCAGTGAGAGGGGGCTGCTCTAGCTGCAGCGCACAGGCTTCTCATTACAGGGCTTCTCGTGTTGCGGAGCCCAGGCTGAAGGGCACACGGGCTCAGTAGTTGAGGCTCCTGGGCTTTAGAGCACAGGCTTAGTTGCTCCACGGCACATGGGATCTTTCTGGATAAGGGACTGAACCAGTGTCTCCTGCACTGACAGGCAGATTCTTTACCGCTTAGCCACAGGGAAGTCCTAGATATGTATTTTTAAATTATAACTGTTACGGACTAAAAAGTAAATTGACACATCCTGACTGTTATATTTTAGAACTTTAGTAAAGTGCCACTTAGGTAGGAGATACTCAACAAATGTTCACTGAACTAAACTGAAGTTGCAAGTTAAAAATACCATTAACTGTAGGACCTGAAGGTGCAGGAATAAATGATTTTGTGTGATTTCTATCACAAAATTTGATACACACAAATTTGATATACTGTGAAGCCAGGCCCACTCCAACCTAATGAAGGCTGAAAAGAAATCATACACAGTAATAAAGACTGTGTATGTATTTCTTACAATATTTAAATATCATAGCCTTTTAACCACAAATAACTAAAACATCTAGTAAATAAAATGAGTAAGAGCAATTCATCTGCTTATGCAATTAGGATATTAAATGTGTAATTTATTTAGAATCTATGTAATAATCTTTAGAATAGACTGCATCCAAAGAGACCTTTGAGAAAAGATTAATTTAAAATAGGATGGGTGTGTTTAAAAGCCTGTGTATGGAGATCTATCTTTAAAGTTCAAATGGGCCAACTGGCCCCAAAGTCCATTCTTAACGCCATGGATTTTAAAGAAAATGACTTGGCCAATTCTTTGACTATAGGGTTAATAACCAGTCTTTAACAAACAGTTCAAAGAATTTAAAATTGGATTTAGATATGTTTAAACGGTATATGAAAACATACCTCTTTTGTTCCTTTAAGATCCAGCCCTTCATGCCAGTCAGGTCCCAGGGCGCTGCCTATGTTACCAGCATTAGCTCTGGTTTGTGCTTCCTTTTTCCGTCCTGAAGAGACAAACTCAGTTCAAAATCCAAAGGATGCAGAGAATTATGTGTTCACAAGTTTTTAGGTAATGTAATAATTCTCATACACACATTAATACAGCAGGACTAAACTTATCTATATTATTTTATTCATTACTTTGGTAATTTTGTGATATACAGCTACAAAATGGATAATCTTTCAATTGAGTGTTGTGTATAAACACATATAGAGTGCTTCATGGATGTTATAATCACTGGTTAATATAAAGAGTAAGAAAATCAGACATTAAATTTTGAAAATTTTGTCAATTTTTAGTGTGACCCAAACTTACAAAATTCTTGTTCAATTTTATAAGTCAAAAATTTAAGGAAAAAAAAAGCTCTTTTGTTTTTAAACTCATTGCATTTTAGAAACTTAGGTGTTGTCAAACTATAGCATCTGCCTGCACTGATGTAGATGGGCTGGTTTATTTAATTCACTTTAAATTTCCAGTTTTAGTTATATTTTTCATAAAAATATATCCTACATATATATATGTGTGTGTGTGCATGTGTGTGTATAATCTTAAAAGTTACATAAAGAAATAGAAATAAGTATTATCTATAGTCCTATCAAAATATTTTGCTAAATTTTCTTAATATTCTTTTTCTATATGGTTAAAAAGTAAAGTCTCATCTGTGAATGAATGAGCTAGACACCATACTTACCTTCAGTTGTATATCTGGTTCTTTTTTGTGCAATTTTAGCCTCTGGTTTTTCATCAATGAGCTTTGAAGTCAAGAATTCAGCTGCTCCTGCATCGAAGAAAGTATTGCCAATTGCTTTATCTTTAATGACCCAAATTACTTCACAGCCTTCAATTTCATACCTAAAAGGAATATGAAAGTTACTTAGAGCAAGTTCAAAGCATAAGAAGAAATCTTTGTATGATAAATAACAACTACCTCTTCGGGCAAGAGTAAAGAAAATATTTTAAGGCAAACTGAGAATGATTATTAAGCACAATATAACACATTTCAGGGTAATAAGAGTTACAGTAGAATAAATAATAAGGGAAATTTAAAGTTTATTTAGAGAACATATACATGACAAATATATACACTGAATCCCTGGAGGAGGAAATGGCAATTCAGTATTCTTGCCTGGAGAATCCCATAGACAGAGGAGCCTGGTGGGCTGTAATCCATGGGGGTCACAAAGTTGGAAACAATTTAGCGACAAAGCAGGCACACATATGCACTGAATAGCATGTACAAATTTTTAATGAGTATCACCTAAAAGTGTTCAATTTCTAAACAGTTATTATATGAATGTCCCCCAGGGTTCCCAGGAGTGAGCAATGCCTGGTTTATCTAGTTACAATGTAATCAGTAATGGAAGGATGGGTGACATATAGCTACAATATTGAGACAGTTGACTTCTTTGCGAACAAATATTTTATTAATATGTATTCAAAGCACATTAAGGAAGGACAAAGAAAAAAGAAAGAATGAGAGTTACAATGAAAATCTTTGCTGTACAGGAAAGGATTACCCTGCAATGAATTCCTTTCATCTAAGAAATTTCCAAGACATCTAGCCAAAGAAAGACCCAGGTCACAGAAAAATGAAGGATCTTAGAGGAAAAAAGGAATGCCCAAGGTATATAGAAACCACCTTCCATTAATGTTCATGAGGTAGCAAGAGCTTCTGGGCTTCAGCAATTTTATCTCTAGGTTTGGACACTGAGAGTGTGGTTTTCTTAATAATCACTCCACAAAGTCCCTGGAGTTCACTATAATTTATCTGCTCTTAATACATGTTTTGGTACAAATGAATGGGGACAATCCTGAACAAACAGGATATATGGTCAATCCTAACTATTCAAGGATTTTATTGGAAACTGCAATAGGAATCAGTGTGTTAATGTCACTGGTCACTTCCCCGGTGGCTCAGACGGTAAAAGCATCTGCCTACAATGCCGGAGACCTGGGTTCAATCCCTGGGACGGGAAGATCTCCTGGAGAAGGAAATGGCAACCCACTCCAGCACTCTTGCCTGGAAAATCCCATAGACAGAGAAGCCTGGTAGGCTACAGTCCATGGGGTCACAAAGAGTCGGACATGACTGAGCGACTTCACTTTCACTTCACTTTATGGTAAAAAGTGTTACCACAATTTATTTCTCAGAGTGACATAATATAACATAGCTAGGTTATATGATTTTTCAAGGCTTACTGATAGATAAGCTGATAAAAGAAAAAAGAACGTTTAGTACATCTGACACCAGGTCACCTGATGTTCATGCTTTTTGGCATACGGTAAAGGAGCCCTCTGCCTTCTCCAGTAGGCCTTTGTTTCTCCTCCTCTCTTATGCCATCAGAGTACTTAATAGTTACTAAATTTCAGATTATCTGGAGAACATTCTATCTCATGCTGCTCAGATTATAAAATATTGCTGATAAACAGAAAGCAGAATACACATAACTTTTATATTCCAATTTTACACACAATTTTTTTTTTTTTTGGTATTTTAAAGTAATGTAGCAACATAACACATAGCAGTATAGCTTAAAATACTGATGCTTGACTGGTTACTTATAATAAGTATTATAAGTTATTAATAATAAGTAACCACCAGAAATAACTCCTGGATGTGCTGTACCTCACAGGATGCCCTCTAATCCTCTTATCCTATGACCTGTGTCCTCAGAAAGATGCATAAGCAAGAAGATATCATCACACTTTGGGAAATTCTGCTTTCATTTTTAAAACCACTTTTAAAAAAACCCAGAAAACAATGAAGTATTACATTTTGTGAAATTATGAAAAACTATGTTTGCTTAAAAAAGAAAGGATTAACCTACATTTGGAAACAGAGATAATAGCTGAAATGAAGGCATACTGAAGGAATCAGTACTAGCATCAGTGGAACATGGGGGCTACTATAAAGCAGAAAGAGTCTGGATATGTCATTTTTCATTAAGACAAAAAAGCCTAATCATTCACTTAACCTAAAATGAGAGAATAGCACTACATGGGCACATTCTTAAACAATCAGAGTTTACTGAATATAAGAGTATGAATTTTATCCAAGTATATGGTCTTCAATCTCCAACCTAAATAAAGAATAGGATTAAATATTGTAAGACTTGGAAACTTTTTGAATGTGAGCAAGCTTTTCAATGTTAATAATAGTATTAAGTTCCACTTTTGGTGATAATTGATAGAGAAAAATCTGTCATGTCTATGTAAGGATTTGAAGCCCCTCTTACAATAAATCTATGCCTCCCTCTTCTGGCCCATTTGGTCTTGACTCTGGTTTTTTCTTTGCATTTTTCCATACAATGCCACAAACTTCATAATTACATTAATGACTGTCAATGCTCACACTCAGGCAATCCAAGAACTCTTACAGGCTTCCACTGAGATTCATCATCCTCTAAAAAGAGGCAAAAACCTACTTTCAGGGCTGGAACAAATGAAAGGGAGCAAAGACAGGGTTCTGGCAGACTCCTTATCTGGATGTAAATTTGTCCTCTTTGTAGCCAGACCCAACTTTCTGGCCTGAAAAATATCTAGACTAGTCCATGTCTGCCATCTGCGGAAAGATAAAATCACAAAGGAAGCGCATCAATGGTCTGGAGACTACAGCAGGATACTCCTCCAATAGATTTCAAACTGTAAACACCATATTAAGATGATAGTATTTCATATTAAGGTGTTCACATTCCCCAAACTTTCAGAAACGAAGAGTTACTCCTCTTACGTGGGAGCACCACGTATCTTGAAACAGAAACTCACACACACTTTGAGTTTCATGGCCAGACGGGTAAGGTAAACACGTGAAGCAGGATGGGGCATAAGCAATAAACAGTCATGGGGACTATGGGCCGGACTCTCAAAGGTGTACATATTTAAATTGTTTTTCAATATAGTACATGCTTACAAGAACACATGCATGGGTCAAATCTAACCAGTCAGCAAGAAGAAAAAAAGCCCTCAAAAAACTCGGTTCAAAAAATTAACCTTTCAAACAAGAAATAATTCAAGAAAACCAAAAAAAAAAGTGGATTTTCTCCTTGAAAATACATGAAAAACAATTATCCTTATCTTTGATTTTTCAGGATAACAAGATATTTTCTCATCTACCAATAATTACACGAATCACAGAGCAATCCTTACATAATATTAAAAAACATGTACTTACACCAATTCAAGTGCGATACCACCATTCCCTATGATCATTATTCTCTTAGCTTTAGTAAGTTGTTTCTGAAATTCCTGTATCAAAAAGAAAACAAGTGTTTTGTAGTATGGGCAATGCCTGAAGCAAGAGGTTCCACTGATAATAAATCTCTTTCCCTCTCTGCCAGGACGTATCCTCCCGATTAATATAATAAAAATGCTGTCTCCATGTTTTACCCCAGATTGCCTTTATAGCAATGCTTCTTTTAGCTTTCTTTACCTGTGTGTCATTACACTCAAATGCAGCACGAGGCTCTGTCTTTAGCTTACTACATTGCTAACTACTGGACCAAGTCAATTCACCAATGACACTGAGCTACATCCTGGACACAGGAGTCTTCCTGTCCTAGTCCCTCAGTCGACACTGTCCCTGCAGTCTCAGAACTTACAGAAATGAGGAGCACAGTGGCACAGTGGTTCAGAGCACAGACTACAGAGGCCCTGGCTCCAGCAGTTACTAACTGGGTGACCTTGGGCAAGCTGCTTAACCTCTCTGCACCTCAGGTCCTCCCAATTTATAAATGAGAGTAAGAAGTGACTATATCTCAAAGTTTCTTTAAGCATTAAGTAAGATGATGGAGATAAAGTTGTTAGGAGTAGCAGGCACATAATAATGTCTAGTATTTGTTTTTAACATGTTATCACCATTGTAAAACAACTAATTGATGCCTCTACTTCCCACTCTCCGCCAAAAAAAGAAGACAATGAGCTTGGAGAAAAAGTGACCAGAAATCATTCTTTTGGTAAGTTCCGCAGTAGAGGAAAGTCCCATTGCTTCAGGATGACAATTGAACAACTGAAGCAGTTAGCTCTACTTAGTCCCCCATCTCTGTAGAGTGGAAGTAATGACTGCCACAGGATTATCATGAGGATTGATGAGTTCATGTACCCAGAGGACATCACTCTAACATAGTTATGAACTCAATCCTTGATAATATGAACCTCAAATGTTTATAAGAACAAAACCCAGTTCTTCTAGTATTCTCTCAAATTCCTATTTAAGAATAAGCTTTAAAAAAAATTGCTATCAATTTAATAGACTATGAAATCCTATTCAGTTCAGTTGCTCAGTCGTGTCTAACTCTTCATGACCCCATGGACTGCAGCACTCCAGGCCTCCCTGTCCATCACTAACTCCTGGAGTTTGCCCAAACTCATGTCCATAGAGTCAGTGACACCATCCAACCATCTCATTCGCTGTCCTCCCCTTCTCTTCCCACCTTCAATCTTTCCCAGCATCAGGGTCTTTTCCAAGGTGTCAGTTCTTCACATCAGGTGGCCAAAGCATTGGAGTTTCAGCTTCAGCATCAGTCCTTCCAATGAATATTCAGGACTGATTTCCTTTAAGGTTGGTTGGTTGGATCTCCTTGCAGTGCAAGGGACTCTCAAGAGTCTTCTCCAACACCATTGTTCAAAAGCATCAATTCTTTGGCGGTCAGCTTTCTTTACAGTCTAACTCTCACATCCATACTTGACTAGTGGAAAAACCATAGCTTTGACTAGATGGACCTTTGCTGGTAAAGTAATGTCTCTGCTTTTGAATATGCTGTGAAATCTTATTATGTAAATATAAAATTACTACCTCATAGGACAGAACAACACTGAGCTTGAGGTAAGAGAGGAGTATTGTGACTGGAACCAAGAAGATGTTCTTGGCAATAAGGATTAATGAATTCTGAAATAAATTACCAAAAGGAGTTGCAAAAGGTTCCAAATATAGAATTTCACCTTTTTGGGATACTTTACCACTGTTCTCGAGCAGAACAAACCATGCGTTTTTTTCAGTTCTAGGATTCTTTATCACAAAGATCTTCTGAATATTGATTTATTTGCTAAGAAGTAAGTCTTGGACATGCTTGGCCTTTTGAGAAAAAGATCATTACATCATTTAGGATGCAAATCACATATTCCCAATCGGAGTAGAATAATGTGTGGTTTGTCTCCTGAGAAATCCGTATGCAGGTTAAGCAGCAACAGCTAGAACTGTACATGAAATAACAGATCAGTTCCAAATCGGGAAAGGAATAGGTCAAGACTGTATACTGTCACCCTGCTTATTTAATTTATATGCAGAGTACACCATGCAAAATGCCAGGCTGGATGAAGCACAAGCTGGAATCAAGACTGCCAGGAGAAATATCAATAACCTCAGATATGCAGATGACACCAGAAAGCGTGTCATCTTATGGCAGAAAGCAAAGAAGAACTAAAGAGCTTCTTTACATCAAGAGCTTCTTGATGAAAGTGAAAGAGGAGAGTGAAAAAGTTGGCTTAAAGCTCAACATTCAGAAACTAAGATCAGGGCATCTGGTCCCATCATTTCATGACAAACAGATGGGGAAACAATGGAAACAGTGACAGGCTATTTTTTTGGGCTCCAAAATCACTGCAGATGGTGACTGAAGCCATGAAATTAAAAGATGCTTGCTCCTTGGGAGAAAAGCTGTGACGAATTTAGACAGCATATTAAAAAGCAGAGACATTACTTTGCCAACAAGGGTCTGTCTAGTCAAAGCTATGGTTTTTCCAGTAGTCATGTATGGATGTGAGAGTTGGACTAAAGAAAGCTGAGCACCGAAGAACTGATGTTTTTGAACTGTGGTGTTGGAGAAGACTCTTGAGAGTCCTTTGGACTGCAAAGAGATCCAACCAGTCAATCCTAAAGGAAATCAATCCTGAATATTCACTGGAAGGACTGATACTGAAACTGAAACTCCAATAATCTGGCCACCTGATGCAAAGAACTGACACCTTGGAAAAGACCCTGATCCTGGGAAAGATTGAAGGCGGGAGGAAAAGGGGGTGCCAGAGGATAAGATGGTTGGATGGCATCACTGACTCAATGGATGTGAGTTTGAGCAAGCTCCGGGAGTTGGTGATGGACAGGGAAGCCTGGCGTGCTGCAGTCCATGGGGCCACAAAGAGTTGGACATGACTGAGGGACTGCACTGAACTGAATGTTAGTTGTAACCTTCAGCATAGACATTAAACCTGAGATAACACAGAAAGAGAAAGAACATGGATAAAAAACAAGATAAATTATCAACTAAGTGTTAGTTGCTCAGTCCTGTCTGACTCTCTGCAACCCCATGGACTGCAGTCTGCCAGGCTCCTCTATCCATGGAATTCTCCAGGCAAGAATACTGGAGTGGGTAACCATTCTCTTCTCCAGAAGGTCTTCCTGATCCAGGGACTGAACCCAGGTCTCCAGTATTGAACGTGGATTCTTTACCATCTGAGCCACAGAGAAGCCCTAAATTATCAACTAAAACTGAACTCAAATTGGCAGTACTAGAACATTAGACTACTTTTTGATTTATGAGTCATGAAGACTTTCTTCTGCTGCTACAGTTTAGAAATTATCATTATAAGTATAGCACTTTGATTCAAATGCAGAAAACGTCTAAGAAGTCTTCATGTTTCTTTCCCATAACCCAAATGTTACCTGTGCACTGTCTGTATCACGGATTCCTAACACATAAGGATTTCCTTCACATATCAATTTTGGTTTCGCTCCAGCACACAGACAGAGCTTCTTATAAATATGCTGATTGCCATCTTCAGTTAAAATGCACTGTAAAACCGTAGAGCAATGAAAAGAGGGGAAACATTTATACATGAGTACAATTATGAAACATTCAATAAGGCAAAAGGAAAAAATATATTAAGGTTGCCTCTTGGTAGCACTCAGTACTTGCTACAGCAATGACAAAGCTAACTAAGTACAACATGTGTTCTCTAGCCCAGTGATTCCGAATCCCTTTGGAACCATGAACCATCTATAGAAATCTGATGAAAACTAGTCCTTTTCTCATGGGGGAAAAAGGTACATTCCCACAAAATTTTGGATAAAACTTTGAGAATCTCATGTCTGGAAAGGTATGTTGGCCTTAAAGACTAAACATTTAGAAATTTTTAAATTGAGCAATCTGATGAACATTTCCTTGATAAACACTCTAATCTCAAAGGGAGTCATTATAAGTATATTCATGATTATAATCATATCAGACCTTAATGTCTGTTATGGGTGCAGAGGAATAGTTAATGGCAGAAGAGGTAACAATAGCTTCTGAATCTAAAAAATCAGAAGTGCTGAGAAACAGTGTTTATACTCTTAAGTACAAATTACAATCGCATTACCAGCAAACATCATGCTCTTTGTGGATTACATGTTTCTGTAAGTGAAAAACATGTTAACCTTAAATCCTAGCATATACTGGCTTTAATTTATATTAATTTTTAATTAGTGAATTTAGATGAGTCTAAAAATACATATCAGAGACCCATGGTTTTTGTTTCTTAATATTGAATGGGTATCCACGTAGGAGTAGCATTTAGAAAGCAGATAGACATTAAGCATGTGCTATACTATGAGAGATGTCAGACTTTGCTGGAATAGTTTTAGGAGTTAATCTTTATACCTTGTGTTTGATTTATAAAATTTGTCAAATAGCGAAGTACATACCCAGTGAAATATGTTACACGTTTTAACTCTCCAGCTACGTAAAAACTACAACATAAAACCAATAAACCAACAGAGTATAATCATACAGAAATGTTATACAAGTCTTCCTTTAGATAATCTGGTTACAATTTTAGCAGAAGTTATAGGCACTGACCAAATTTAAAAAATTATTTGCACCTAGGTACTATAAAAACAAACACAAAACCTCTTCATTGACTACTGTTAAATTTTTGGAGACAAAAAGGTAAAACACATCATTTCTAATTCACTAAAGAATATGAAGGATGGATCACAGCAGACAGACATGTATACTATACAAGACACTTTTCAAATGAAACACTTGGCACTCCGGCTCATTCCAATGCCCTGACACTTAAGTTCCCTCACGATTCACTTGTCTACTTCTGAGCCTACCTCAGTGTGCAAATTCACTGACATGGGTGTTTTATGGAACAAGTGTGGCCGTTACAAATATTAGGAAATCACTGTGGTGTTTGGATTCAGATTTGTAAAATTTTTCTCATAAACTCAGTAGTTTTTCTTACTTTTATTTTTTCCTGTCAAGTTATTTGTTTCACACATGACACATAACCCTTTATCCCTAAGGTAGAACTCAAACCTGAGCTGCTTCAGAGAAACAACTACAAACCCTGGTTCCCATCTTAGTGCCTGAAGTTCATGTGAAGATACTATGTATCATATGACACGGAGACTTCCCGACATCTGAGACCGAGAAGTGGCCTTTCCTGAGACTGCCTCTACTTGGGCCTTATATCATTTTGGACTGTTATAACCATCTTCTAATTTGGTTACTGGCTACTAGCCATATGTTCTACCCTGGTTTGTCTTTGACACTGCGGTCAGATACATCTTCCTAGATGAATATTTTATCAACCCTTCTTCCATGTAAAATCTCTTTACTATTTATCCACTGATGATAAACTGAACTCAGTTTATTAGCATGACATAAAAAGTTCTTCACAATCTTATTTACTCACTTCTCTGGCCTAGTTGGCCCTTATCCTTTCCTTATCCATACCCCAACCCCTCTGACGGCCTCTCTCTCTCCACATGCCCTTCTCCTCTCTTTGGGTCTCTCAACACGCAGTCTCCACTTCCAGGAATGCCCTTTTCCACGTGGAGAACTGTTACTCCACCTACCTTTTTAAAACATAGCTCAGTATTACTCACTGTGAGGTCTTCCTAAACACCTAATAAAAGAGCTTTGATATTTCAACATTAAACATATAGCATGTCTGTATTCCCTATGATGCTGAGAGCTGCTGGGAGCAGGTTTCTGCTATTACTGCTCCTGGGCCCCACAATTAATGCAGTGCCCAGAATACAGTGAACACTATACAAATGTTAACGATCATTTAAAATGTAAAATCTAAAATGCTAACCTAAACTAATGATATGTCCCCAAGAAACTCAAAAAAAGGGTACATTTTTCTAATACTAACGGGAATCAATGTCAATAAAATTTACACGCCAGGGACCTGGGTGGTGGTGCAACAGGTGGGGTCAAAGGAAGGCAGGCGAGATCTCTCACCAAGATTTAACAACAGCAAATGTCATTAAGAAAAAGTCCACGTACACGCTCTTTGCTCTTTAGTTGCTTTACTCCAGATTCTATAACCTTAATGTTGGGAAAGCGATTTTCTAACACGGTACTTGGTTGTTCTTCAACATCAAATTCTTCCAATACTTTAGAAACCTATATGAGAGAAAAGAGATAAAAATGCATACTTAAATTTTTTAAGAATTTTAAATAATAAAATATTTTTGTTTCTTTTTTATACACTATTTATTTCACATTCATAAAACAGGAAAGTCTGCCAGCTGCAATATCCACAGCAGAAAGGCTAGACTCGGTATCTTTAGACCGAAACGCAAACACTAGTCCTGCCTCTCATGGGCAAGTCAGGAAGTCACCGAGCCTTAGTCTTCTGGCCTGTAAAATGAAGGCTAAGACTACTCATTTCTGTACAGTTTAATCAAACAGCTTATCTATTTCTTTATCCTTGCAGCTTTCTCTTTCTATTTACTAGCTAACGTTACTGTGAGCTAGTCTTTGGACTCTTCGTTCCTGTTCTTCAAAATTGTCAGCCTCCTCTTGGACTCACCTTCTGTCCTATCCCACTAGGACTCCACTATGGATCATTTCATCTTCTCTCCAAATCCTTTACTTTCTTGCTCTCTTATCCTTAACCATTAATCACCCTGAAAACTGCCAACCACAGACCACATTACATCCATTCTCCAGTTGTAAACCCAGGCGGCTACAGAAGACCCCCACACATTATAGACTAGTATTTCCCCTCAAATGCTGTCTGGAAATCCTGCTGCTTGGCTATAGCAGTTCTCAAACCTTTTAGTCTCAAGACCTCTTTATAGGCTTACCAACTGAGGACCTCAATAAGCTTTTGTGTTTTTGAGTTAGATCTAGCAATATCTGTTGCATTAGAAATTGAAATGGAGAAAAATTTTTAACTATTTCTTAATTAACTTAAAAGTAACAATAACAAATCCAATACATGTTAAAAGTGATACACTTCTAATGAAAAATAACTATTTTTTTTTTTAAAAACAAAACAAACTGAGAAAGCAGCCCTGTTTTGCATTTTTGCAAATTTCTTTCATGTCTGCTTTAGTAGAATGTAGCTGGGTATCTGCTTCTGCATTCAAGCAGCTTCTACATTTAAAACATTGCACCATTGTTTTGGTTGAAGTACATGAAGACAGTTAGCCTCACACAGATATGTAGCCCTTTCAGATAACTGTACATTCTTCTTGATGTTACACTAAAACTCAACAAGTGATGGTTTCTTAAAGATTAGATGCAAAGTAGAATTTGATACTGTATCAAGAACTTTTCATTTTGGGACTGCGAAATCCATTAGTCTATCCTGCACTTTGATAGTTACAAGTCTGTCTTGTAATTTCACACATCAGATAATACTGGTTCTCAAAATTACAGAGATCTTCCAAATACTGACACATTTCCTATCAATAAATATTAAAAAAATAATCACATTTATTATTATCACCAATCTCATGAGAAAAAGCTAAGTACTATAAGGCTAACAGTGAAGAATGAGTTTTCCAAAAATCTAATTTTTGCTTGAAAGCTCTAATTTTGTCATATTGGCAACAAATACCATTGGCTGGTTTCTTGAAGTGACAGGCTCACTTCATTCATTTTCCAAACATGAATGGCCACAGTGGTGTCAGTTGTTCTTTCAAGCAAAAGTGATGTTCCATGAAAATAGTAGCTAGTTCATCTTCCATCTCAGCAAGTATACAACTGCTTTTCCTTGAGACAATGTTGTACTCTTCATATGCAGAAATGCTTTATGCATACATATTGTGTCACAAAATATTAAAAATATGCACACTCAAGAGGCAAGATTTAATAAAAGTAACATTTTTTAAGAAACGGCTTTTATTTTTCCCACTAACTGTGTGGCAGTCAAGAATACAATGGCTACCAGGGTAAGTAGCTACCACTCCTCTTATACCATCAGTGCAAATACAGTGAAAAGTCAGTAACATCTTAGTAACATACTTCAATCCCTCAGTGACTTTTTCAAATTCTCACCATTCTGATGTTCCCCAAACTTATTCTATCCTCTTTATTCTCAGCAAATCACCTTACACACAGAGACCATAAAGAACTCTGACTACTTTCCCACTATCCAGATGTTTCTCTGCTCATGTCCACTTTCCTTGACCCACTTCCACTATTTCAAAGTCAATCCACTGCTCTGTGATCCAGATCCCATCGCCTCTCACCTCCTCAGGACTCCCTCCTTGTTATGTATGCCTTGCTTTCCTTCATCTTCAGGCTTCCCCACTGGTTTCTTAATCTCAAGAGGTGAACATGCTCAAGCAATTCCCACCTTAAAAGAATAAAATTCAACTTAATGCTAGATCTCATGTCCTCTTGTTGCCATTCTAAATCTTTTCTACCTCCATAGCTAACGTTTTCAATAGAGAAAAGTTCATGCTGTCATTTTAGAATTATCTCCCATTAATTTCTCAAAATTGCATAAATTCTTTGAAAGTCACCAATGATCTATACTAGAAATAACCACTTTCCAACCATCATCTTACCTGACCATTCCATAGAATCTGACACAACTGACCACTCCTCTTAATTGAAACGCCACGTGATCTCTTGCAAACACAGTAAAACCTTTTTATTCTTTAAATCTCATTTCAATGCAATCACCTATGTAAAGCCTTCCTTAACTCCCAAAGGCAGGCTTTGGTGCTCTTTCACAAAGTTCAGTATGCATAAATATAAATATACTGGTAAATGACCTCATTTTTTGCCTCTATCAGGATAATGATGAAATTGTATGATAACTATTTCGGGCATATTTGTTGCCCCAGTAGAAAATAATCATCTGAGAAACTGACCATGTGGGCTCTATAGCCAGAGTGTCTGGATTCAAACCTGACAATAAACTTGGAAATTGACAGAACCTCACTGGGACACATTTATTTCATCTGTAATGTGGGGAGAACAAGCTACTTCACAGGGTTAAGAATTAAATACATTACTACATTTAAACATTCAGAAGTACAGCATAATAAGTACTCCATAAATGTGAATTACTATTAATTCCTCTTCTCCTTTAAAAATTATACAAGTCATGAATGTGTTCTTAACACTAAACAAATAAATAATACATAATATAGAATAACTGTCAAATTCCCTCTTTACCACTCTTTCCCCTAAACACACTAATAACCATTAGTGACTTTTTGATGTATGGTCTATGTAAACTTCCATGTCCTGGATGCCTAGCACAATGGTAAATAATCTAAATATTCAATAAATGATAAAAGGAATGCAATTTCTGACTTCTATACACTAAAAAAAAAAAAAAAGACATTTACTATTTCAATGCACTTTCATATATATTAGTACATCTTAAGCTCACAACCCTGTTGAGTAAGCAAAGAAGATATTATCCTAATGGATACAACTCAGGTACAGAGATTTGTCAAGGCTAAACAGCCAGTAAATAATCGCTAGACCTAGAACCCAAGTTTTCTCTTTCTACTGTACAACACTTATACTTGGAAGATTCAGCTATACATCTCTAAGTATGTACTCGTAGCCTATAACTGAATTTATGCTTTTTTTCTTTTAGAAATTAAAAGCCTGTTCAATCTGTTCTCTGGTTCTCTCAATCCCATACATAGTTCTTTTGGCTATACCTAAGTACTAAGATATCTTACCTATCTGTAGGCAAGTTATAAAGTGCAACATATGGCACTAAATTACCCTTGGTCTTAAGAGTTTATGTAAATCTTAGGGATTTATGTATGAAAATAGGGTAGCTTAACTGTATACTGATCTCTTCCCTGAAAGACAATATTATTAAGAACTTTTAGAAAACACACTTCAAGATTGGAAAGGTGTGTTTGTGGGAGATGGGTAGATTGCTTTTTCTCCCTAAGATCAAATCTTTAACCTTTATTTCAAGATTAAGTCTATACAAAATGCCAAAAGGAAAAAAAAAATACATTCCATCATCAGTGTTATAAGGGAAAACCTGTACTCAGTCAAAGACTATGTGAATAGTCTTCATTGTAGTATGGGAAGAAAAGATTTATGTTTTTCACCTTTTATTCATTTATTTTTTACATAGGTCCTATAATATTCAGAACTATAGCACTGCAGTACATGTATATAGTTTATAAATATAATGTTAAGAAATGAGTGCAAAAGTTTTTAACAGGTGAGATAAAAGATCAAAAATGTTTGCAGTCTCCTTTTCTATACTATGACACAAATGCTCTTTAGACTGCTGTTATAATGTTATGTGTAAAATAAACTCATGGAACTACAAAGTGTTCTGAGATGCTTACTACACATCTGAAGCATTAATTATCTGCAAGTGTAAACTCGGCTCAGAGGTAGTGTTCTTCTGACCTGTACATACACACACACTTATCATCAAGATATACATGTATATTTGCATTCCTATGTAGATGTGCATAACATCCTTCCTCAAAAGAGAAACTTTCTGAAACATACTTCTGAGTGGGGAGGAAAAGATGAGAGACAACCAGAAATTTAATACCTACCAGGTGCTTTTGGTATTTCATGTGAACAACTCTAAACTTTGAGCTATGATTTGAAAATGAGTATCAAAAGAGCATTTGTTAAACAATTAAAATACTACAATTACACTAACTGCTATGTGAGTTACTGCAGTTTTTGAAAATTAACACTAAGAAAGGTATATGATGGTTCTTACCTGCTTGAAATTTGTAACTGCTTTAATAACAGGAGAAGCTGTTATCAGGAGAATATCTTCTGATGGAAAATTAATTGCCAACTTATTAAAAAAAAGAAAAGAAAATTATGATAAATAACTATTAATACATAGAGGGATGAGACAGATAATGCAATTTTAATGTTATTAACTTAGGAAACTAAAAACTCACTGCTCTCCTTTTAAAGGTCTCCATTATCCTGGGTCTTGGCTCTATTTATGGGGTAGTGGTGAGAAGCTTTCAACTCCGATATTGATTAAAATGAAATATACATTTACACTACACTCTAACAATAACCATGAAAAGGATGAGAAGGAACTATCTTCCTAATTAACAGTTAAACCAACTTCTCTTCACTGCAAAATAACTTCATTTGTCTTAAGCAGAATGAAATCACAGCAAACCTCCAATAAAACACTTAAAACTTTAGCAACTTCCCCAAGTGCTTTGGCATGCCCAACCAGTAGAGACTCTGAGAGTCTTATCAAAATCCGGAGGTTTAATCTGCCAATGTCTCATCATCTTCCTTAGCTACAACCTCTTCCTTGCTCACTTTAAATTTCCTGAAAGGATTTTCTTAACCCCTGCAGCTCTGTAACTCCACCTATCTTGATCTGTCTCTGCTTGTGATTACAAAAGACTGCTTTTCGCTTGTGCCTTTTGGTTTCCTGTTATGCACTTTAACTTTTAAGAAATGAATGTTATTATAAAAACCTTAAAAAAAACCAACTGAGCATGTTCAATTCACCTACACATCCATTATTCTTTTTTGTACCACCTTACTTAAATTTTTTATAATATCTGACATCAATCTCTCATTTCCTATGTATATTCTGTTATTTATTTCCTCACTTTCTGTTTCCATTACAATACTACTAATACCACCTCTGAGTTGGCCTTCTAGTCTCATATTGACCTGCTTGCTCTGCTCCAACACACTGTAGTTAATAATCTTTTAAAATTTTTCATTTGATCATGTTACTCCACTGGTCACAATCATTTGACTACTTGTAAGTTTTTGTTAAATTCTTAGCATGACTTACGTCCCTGCCAGTCTTCCTGGCTTCATCTCTGGTCACTTTCCCCAAGCACCATATACTTTAAGTTTTGCTGCTTCCAGATGGTTCTATGCTTTTTCACCCGATATTACACTGCTACCTCCCTTTGGAATATCTGTCTTTTCTTGTCTACCTGGTAAACTCTTATTCATTCCTCTATACAGGCATAACAGACACCGCGGGCTCTGTTCCTGACCACTGCAAAGAAGTGAAGACGGCAATAAAGCCAATCACATGAGAATTTTGGTTCCCTAGTGCATATAAAAGTTATGCTTATACTACACACTGTTGTCAATACTAAGTGTGCATAAAAATGTGTTCTGAAAGTGTTGTAAAAAATGTACATGCCTTAATTAAAAAATACTTTATTGATAAAAACACTAACCATCAGCTGAGCCTTCAGTGAGTGTTAATCTTTTTGCAATCTTTTTTGCAATAGTACCATCAAAAATCACTGATCAAAGATCACCATACAAAATAGCATAATAATTTAAAAGTCTGAAATATTGTGGTAATTTCCAAAAGAGGACAGAGAGGGCTTGCTCCACAGGCCTGCTGAAGACCTTCAATTTGTAAACAAGTTATTTATGTGAAGTACAATAAATCAAAAGGCAAAAAAATGAGATATGACTGTACTAAGACAAAGGGCCATCTCCTGTGAGAAAGGACACTTCTTCCCTAATTCATGCCTTACCAACTCCACAGGCACCCCTAAGGTAGTGAACACACTGATGAAATGATTTACTTATTTACATTACTCACTAGGCTTTGTCTCCAAAAAGGAGGCACCATGCTCTGTTAGTACCAGTCTAATCAGTCCTTAGTACAGTATCTGAAGTATAGGTGTTCACTTGATGAATAAATGAAATCTACACATATCCAAAGATTAAAAGTTAAGGGAAAAAACTTTTAATTTCCAATGACTTCGATTGCTTATATTTACTTCTTACCAATACAATAATCTAGACCCTTTTGGAATACATGTATTCATGTAAAATATATGTAAAAATTCCATACGTATATATGTTGTCTGATTGTATACTATAAATCAGAAAAGCATCACCTCGCTTCACTTAAGCCCATGTCGGCTGTTTTACAAGATATTACTGGAGATGACACCTCTTCTATCTTGGGAGTCCAAAGTCTACAAAACTTACGTAAGGACTTCTTTATAATCTAGTTACGATGCACTGAGGACGTGGGCACCTATGAGGAAGCTGGATTCAATCAGGCCATTAAGAAAGAAGGCGGGATTTTCTGGCCAAGTACTTCCTAGTCGTAACCCATCCCTCTTCTCCCCGCATCTGCTCTGGCATCACCAGGACCAAAACCGGGTTCAGTCGGCTTTGGGTTTCCCCTAATGACTTGCTCGCCATTCCTCGTCCCTGCATTGGAGGCGAAGCCTGCGAGGTACTAAGGACATCCTCTGTGAGCCAAGACAGAGTCTCTAATACCTAGGAGACGGCAGGGGTGCGTAGGGAAAAAGGAAACAGTGAAAGCAACCTGGAAGAAACACTAGGGAAAGGGGCGGGCGGGAGCCTCAAGCGCCAGCGCCTCCAGGGTCTCGGAGAGACGAAATCTCTTGCGCGCCCGCCTTACCTGCTCCGCACACGTGACACCCGCGATGCCACCGCCGACCACCACGAACTTCCCCGCTGTCGGGGGCGAGCACGGAGCCTCCATGCTCGTAGGGGTTTGAGGACTACAGTGGGAAGCCGGAAATGTTTGCCTTCCCGGAGAGGGAGGGCGCAGGACGCCCACTTCCGGCGCATGCTCCTGAGAATCCGAGCTACGGGTGCCTGGGAACTCACACTTAGTCTCTCCGCGTTCTTGGGAAGCCGAACTACGGGTACCTGGGAATTCACACTTAGCCTTTCTTCACTCTTTGAAAAGTCGAGCTACGGGTGCTCGGGGAGCTCACATTTAGTCTCTTCGCGTATCGGCTGTGGTTTCTTGCCCAAGCCAAGAGGCAGCTAGCTCATCGAATGCAGGGCTTTGCCTTCCTGTCACTACAGCTGAATGAAGCGTTTATGTGTAGATTCGATAAAGATAAAACAAAAGCCAAAGTAAAGTAGATCTTGACCTATTGTCTATAGACCAGTGTTCTCGCGGGTCAGAGCGTTCTTCGAATAAATGAACTGCTCTGAAGTTCTCACTGTTCCTTCCTGCCTGAAGTCAAGTATACCCTCACTTCCCTGGTGGCCCAGACGGTAAAAGCGTTTGCCTACAATGCAGGAGACCCGTGTTCGATCCCTGGGGTGGGAAGATCTCCTGGAGAAGGAAATGGAAACCTACTCCAGTACTCTGCCTGGAAAATCCCATGGACCGAGAAGCCTGGGGTCACAAAGAGTCGGACACGACTGAGCGACTTCACTTTCACTAGTACTTTTTCCCATCGCTTTCTGAAGTCCAAGCAATACAATAAAATAATGCCTGATTTGAATCATTTCCCATTTTACAGGGTGTAAATCAACATGATATCACTGAACAAGTCATTGGGAAAAAGTGTGCTGTAGTACAACATTATATGATATCTTCACCATATGGATAAAATAGATAGGAATAACCTCAAGAGTAGATAATGATAAAATATTGATAATTAGAAAATAATGAGCTTTATAATGCATTAAATGAAAATTTTATTAATATTGTTTCTGAGTGATCATTTGTGGCACGTTGTGAATAGCACAAAGATAGGAGGAAATATTATTTCAGTGTTCAAAAACTACTATGCAATTCAGCAAAGACATTACTGATGTCATAGATAAACAAGTGAAACTGTTTGACTTTTTTTTTTGGCTGTGAATCTTGTTCCCTGACCAGGAGTAGAACATCGCCCTCTGCAGTGAAAGTGCTACAGAGCCTTAACCACTGGACTGCTAAGGACCAAAATAACATTTTTTTAAAAAAATTCAATTAAAAAAACATATAAAAAAATTCTTCCGAGTGCCAAAGATGGGCACGCCCAACTTCCCTAGCTTGCCTCTCTGTAGGGCAGAAGGGGAAAAGGTAAGGCATGGCTGTTGATAGCTGTCAACAGCTCAACATTGAAAGTGAGGTCAGGCTCTTTACTAAAATAGGTAGCCTTTCTCTTTTGATTTCCAACTCTATGTGATTGGTTTATAAAATTTCCAAGCTCTTCTCAGGCTGTATGATGGAGCTCATGGTTTAGTTTCAATTTCAGTTCTTATCGCCAGAAAACACTCTTAAATTATAAGCACACAAGGCAATTCCAGAGTCAAATATAAATTCCTTTTTATTGTCCATATCTTTTTCTCTACTATAGAAAATTGGGAATTCTCTTTAGTCTTTTAAACTTTTTGAGTCATGATTAAAACTTCTAAAAGATGTCTTTCAGAATGTGAAATGGTATTATAACACAATTTGCATATATTTTGCATATATTATAAATAAAAAATATTAGGATTCAACCTTATAGCGGTCATGCTATTTTCAAATAAAATATTTCTACTTAAGTTCCATATAATTTATTTAATTTCTATGCTTTTCACATATAAAGTTACTGGACAACACTTGAAGGAATTATTACTTAATTATTTTCCGTTTTAGCATGCAATGCAACATTTTAACATCAGCTACATTGAAGATAAGAGAAATTCTGATTGCTTTCTCAAAAATAATGACATAGGTTCCATAGCCAATTATTATACTAAGGGGCTAGAAACAAACAATACTTTGCGTTTATACTTGTTTATTGAAATCATTAGTATTTCCCATAAAATAAGTGAGGATATAAAGAAAGTAAAGTATATTTTCCCCTCCAAATGAGGAAAACATATTAAATTATGCTATCAGGTGAATGACTAATTTACTTTAGTAACTATTAAATACTGAAATTATAAATAAGGTTGTATCTCTTAATTTTATCTGTTTTGAAAAGAAAAACAAACCTTTGTTGTTTAAATAATACGTCAAATACTACATTATCCATTCATTACTTTAACTGAAAGCAGATTGATATAAAGTTTCAGTAAATTTCTCTAGTCTTGAACTTATTTGAAGGTTTTTATGAAACTTCAGAATTTTAGCTGTTGAAATGATCTTTAACAAAATTCATATGTTGTAACCACACTGATTCACACTGAATGTGCTTACCCAAGGCATCAAGCTAAAAGTGAAAAAGAAATTCTCATGTCTAGACTTGGGAGAAGAAAGTTAGCCAATTTTTGCTTTGGTTCAGACCAGGTCACTTTTGCATGGATGACAGTTGAAAGAACAGCTGAGTAAAACATTTCTGTGGGACTTCCCTGGCAATCCAGTGGTTGAGACTTCACCTTCCAATGCAGGGGATGCAGGTTCCATTCTGGTCGAGGAGCTAAGATCCTACATCCCTTGGAGTCAAAAGACCAAAACATAAAAACAACAGAAACAATATTGTGATGGATTTAACAAAGACTTCAAAGATGACCCACATTAAAAAAAAACAAAACACTTTTTTTTGGTATAACACCAAAAAATGTTCTCATTGTGTCTTGAAAGATACTCATGGAGGGAAAAGCTTTTCATCAGGAAGATGTGCACACATGCTCAGTCATGTCCAACTCTTTGGAACCCCGTGGACTGTAGCCCGCTGGGCTCCTCTATCCATGGGATTTTCCAGGCTTGAATACTGGAGCAGGTTGCCATTTCCTTCTCTAGGGGATCTTCCCAACCCAGGTATTGAATCTGTGTCTCTCGAATTGCAGGGAAGTTCTTTACCTCTGAGCCATCTGGGAAACTCTAGACTGGATATGAGATTAGGGGTAGAGAAGCCATTTTGTAACATGAGATCAAAAGTATGAAGATGAAGATATATTTACTAATGACATGTAAGGAAAAGATGGAAAATGAACAGATTAACTTATAATTAATATCTGTATGCATGCTAAATTGCTTCAGTTTGCTTTGCTATGGACTGTAGCCTGCCAGACTCCTCTGTCCATGGGATTCTACAGGCAAAAATATTGGAGTGGCTTGCCATCCCCTTCCAGGGAGTCTTCCCAACCCAGGGATCAAACCTGAGTCTCCTCTGATTCCTACATTGCTGGCAGATTCTTTACCACTGAGCCACCTATACAGGAAGCCTAATACCTGTACATTTACTTCCAGATGTTTATCTGCTTATCTCTATGCCTAGATCTAATGGGGTAGCTATACAAATGTAACTGGTTTTCAAGTGGTGGCTTTGTTTTCTTCCCAGTTATCATGGATTCGATTTAATGATTTAATGTGGTCAATTTCTGAATTTGAATGTATTTCTTCAGTTTCAGAAGTTTGTAGTAGTCAAAATTGCCCAAATGTACTCTAAAAAACATGTTTTATTTTAAAATGAAAAATATAATAAAATGAATTAAGAGAAGTACATTTAGGTTATGCAAATGCAAATCAGTATGACCATTCTAATGTCATTTGAAAATTTTTGTTACAGTTATTCATTCAACAAATATTTACTGAACACCTGTTTCATGTCAGACATTATTCCAGTCACTTGGATACATCAGTGAATAAAACAGACAAAAATTTCTGCCCTACCTGGATTGGGAAAATCCCCTGGAGTAGGAAATGGCAACCCACTCCGGTGTTCTTGCCTGAAAAATTCCATGGACAGAAGAGCCTGGTGGGCTATAGTTCATGCGGTTGCAAGAGTTGGACATGACTGAGCACACACATGCACGTGTGCTTGCACACACACACACACACACACACACACAAACAGATTAACTTGGATTATATGGTATGCAATAAAATTGATGGATCATAGCAATAAGTGAAAACCTTGAGTCTTCTCAAATTACATACAGCCTGAAGCTCTTTATAAAGTTTAGAATAATTAAATACCTACACGGGTACATGCAGGCACACACTCTTCAGAATTATACAAAAAATGAAAGCAAGAGAATGATAAAAGATTCACAATGAAAACAAAGGCTCAAGTGAGTGGTTACCTTGGGTTGGATAAAACAGAAGTGGGTTGGTGGGGAAAAACCACATGTTTAGATGTAGTTTATTCTAGATCTTATGAATAAGAACATACCACGTGTGGACAATGATGAGAACAAATTGTGAAACACTGAGTGATTAATCTAATTCTCTGTTTCTGAGGTCCCTAAAAAAAAAACTTTTCCCAAAAGAAAAAAAAAAAAACCCTTCCCCCGAAAAGGGTGGTTTCCAAAATAAAAAAAAAAATAGAGCACAGAAAACAATTATGAGAGATCATGTCTGACTCATCATAGCTCACAGCGAGGAAAGAACTTGTGCAATGGCATGAGAAGAACACTTATAATGTGTTTGATGTTCAAAGAGACATAAGATGCATATACAGATTCTGAGGGAAGCTTCTGTACCATACAGCTCAAAGACGCAACTGTGATCTCAGAATTATTGTCAAAGCCAAGGATGCCAGCCACACATGGATATGATCTCCCATGGCCTTGGCCTGCAATGACTTAGAGGTGGGCTTTGGTTCCCACTCAGAGATTGAGGCTGGGTCCTGATGGTGAGAGCACCAGATCATAACCTCTAGACCAGTAGTCAGGGACAAGGGCCCTGGCCCTTTGACTTTGCAGAAAAGAATTTCCAAAAGGAAGGGAAGTAGTAAAGCAAGTAGTTTATTAAGTGGAAAAAGAATACACTACATGTAAATAGACACATGGGCAAGCTCAGAGAGAGAGAGTCCCTGAGTCACACCCTCATGGCAGTTTAAGTCACTTCAGTCAGTTCAGTTCATCACTCAATGTGTGTCTGACTCTTTTAGACCCCAGGCACTGCAGCATGCCGGAC